TCTCCCTTCCCCTCCTCCCCTCCCCTTCCCCCCTCCCCTCTCCTCCCCCTCTCTCCTCCCCCCCTCCCCTTCCCCCCTTTTTTCCTTTTAGAAAGGGCGATGGCCTTGGGATGCAGTTGGCCTTGGGATGCAGACGGCCTTGAGATATCATCATCGAACTGACCGGCCCTAGCTGGTGCCTGTCTCTTATACACATCTAGATGTGTATAAGAGACAGTCTCCCCCCTTGCCCTCTCTGTTGCTTTTCCCTATCAAGTGGGTCTTCCTTGTGTACATCCCTTTCCCTATGCCCGCCTCGTCCAATTCCCTCCTCCTTCTTCCCTTCTTCCCCCCCTCCCCTTCCCCCCTTTTTTCCTTTTAGAAAGGGCGATGGCCTTGGGATGCAGTTGGCCTTGGGATGCAGACGGCCTGTCTCTTATACACATCTAGATGTGTATAAGAGACAGGTGCTGAACTTCACTGTGTGTGTGAGGAATCGGTCGTCGGAGTTGAAGTAGAATTTGATGGGGTAAAGGGCCTTGCGGCACTTTTTATGTAATGTGAAAATGGCGAATGTACTTTGCCGCTTTTAACGGCAAGATGCACTGGGCATTTCTCCCATTAGGCCAGTAGTTGAGCGAGACCCAAATAGCAAACCGGAGTGTTGATGATGATCAAGAAGAAGAAGACCAAGATGAGGTTTGCTATTTGGGTCTCGCTCAACTACTCGCCTAATGGGAGAAATGCCCAGTGCATCTTGCCGTTAAAAGCGGCAAAGTACATCCGCCTAATGAGGAGGTTGAGAGAGGGGACAATGGCGGTGATGAGAAGGGGAGAGTGGAAGCAAGAGGAGGAGATGGGGGAGGAGGAAGAGGAGGAGGAGGAGGAGGAGGAGGAGGAGGAGAAAGAGGAGGAGGAAGAAGAGGAGGAAAAGGAGGAGAAGGAATGGGAGGGGAAGGGTGGGAGAAGCACAAAGTGCGCTCTTATCATCTGTAGTAGTCTATATAAGCATCGATCGAATCCCTTGCCTGTCGACGACACTCAGGCGGCGCCTGAGGGGTCAAAAGCATGTTGAGCTTCCGTTTGGTTTTAGGATTGCAGGGGTCATTAGGGAAGAACTTCGGGTCGGGGTAGGGGGTGTTGGTAGAGTACAAAAAACCATTCCAGTCCGTCCTCCCTCTTCCATGCAAAAGAACAGACAATTCGAGATAAAACTTGGAATGGACTCTGGCACTGCCAAGTCGTCGATCGATGAGCAAACATGTGTGTGTGTGTGTGTGTGAGTGTGTGTGTGTGTGCTGTCTCTTATACACATCTAGATGTGTATAAGAGACAGGTATGATAATTTTTTTCAAGAGGGGTTTCCCGCT